GTATTGAAAAGGTTTTGCAGCCCTACAAATCATCAGTTCTTCGATGAGCTCCCTCATAGTGGATCAGACACTGCTAGAGTGAACCCAGGTCATGAACTCAGTGATTTGTCGGAGAATGAGGATTGAATTTGTTATGTTGAATCCCTTGTTTCATTTTTATGTTGCAACTGTAGCTTGTTTTATTTTTCCTACTTTGTTCTTGTGTGCTGTTTGTGTATGTTGTGCAGTTGTCATGAAATTAAGCTTTCTGTCAATTACAAAAAATGTCTCGCTATCACTTTGGAATAAAGTGTACGTGTACACACCAAAATCCCAGTACTCGCTATGATAACTTTAATTTAAAGCAGACCGATCACAAATGCATGAAAATATGTATAAGATTGATTTATATGGCTTCTAATGTCATTGTTTAAGCGTCCCATAGCATTATGAGTATATCTGGACAATAAAGCTTAGCCTATTTTGGAATATTTTGGATTCAGGGGAAAAAACAGACATGTCACAAAACCACCTCTTGTGTGATTTTTTTAGTTTAAATCCCAACGGTCATAAAAAAACATACAAACTTTATCATTTATAGCAATGATATTGGTTCGGCTTGCTGTATGCAGAATCTCAACTTTGTATTCTGTATCTTTGATCATTGAGGAGTGTTTGAACTTTTAAAATGGGTTTTCTCAAAACTTGTAAAATGTGACATGTCTGCTTTTACCCCTGTGCCCTTCATTTATTAGCCTTTTTTTCGAAAACAAACTTAGAGTTTGTTTTGAAAACTAAAAATGTTAATGAAGCTTATGATAAGTTTCATCATATATTTCAATGTCACTACAATAAAGCATTCCCAATAACAACTAAATTTATTAAAACCAAAACTCTAAAAAATCCCTGGATAACACCTGGAATCATAAAATCTTCCAAAAAAAGCAACGATTGTATGAAAAGTTCATTAAAAAAAGAACCTTTGAAATTTTATTTGCAGATGACACAAATTTATTTTACGCACATAACGGTATAAATATTCTGTTTAAGTCAGTAAACAAAGAGCTATTAAATCTTACTGAATGGTTTAATGCAAACAAATTATCTCTCAATGTAACCAAAACAAAATATACTTTTTTCCATCGTTTTCACGATCGAGATAAAATTCCTTTAAAACTTCCAAAACTTTGTATTGCTAATCAGGACATAAAAAAGGAAACCACATTAAAATTTCTTGGCGTACTTCTTGATGAAAATGTGACGTGGAAAGATCACATACATTATCTTGAAAATAAAATCTCAAGGAACATTGGCCGACTCTGTAGAGCAAAGCTTTTTTTAAGTCCAACTTGCTTAAAGCTTTTATATTTCTCATTCATTTATTGCCATCTTAATTACGCAAACATTGCTTGGTGCAGTAAAAATAAAATAAAAATAAAATAAAAAACTATTTAACAAACAAAAACATGCAATCAGAATTATTTACAGTGTGGGCCGTTTTACACATTCCCAAGAATTGTTTGTTAATTTAAATATAATGAATGTCTACCAAATAAATATCTATCATCTTCTTATATTTATGTTCAAAATTAATAAGAATATATCTCCGAAAATATTCTACCCTCTATTCAAAATAAATCAGAACAGATATCTAACCAGACTTTCAAATAACAATTACATTCAACCCAAAAGGTATTTTGCGGCGATTGAAATTTCAATTTCTACAAGAGGACCAAAATTATGGAATAAAATATTAACAAATGAACTTAAATCAATTGCAACGCTTAATGAGTTTAAAAACAAATTGAAGCAAAAACTATTGATGAAATTGAAGCAAAAACTATTGCTCAGCTTTTTCTGAAGTATTAATGATTGCTACTAATAAGTAATTAGAGGTTTGTCATTATCAGCTTGACGATCTTAGAAAGGATCGTGTCACTTGTTACTGATTCATTTCTTCTTTTATAAAAACTTATGATTTATAAAAATTCTCCAGATAATTTAAGGTATCTGCTGGTGTAAGAGGAAAGCTTCAGGATTATGCGTATTTACCTGCATGCTTTTTAATAATAGAGTTTTTATTATGCTAAACATTTTTTTTCTTTTTTTTTTTTCTTTAAATTTGTATTTAAATTTTTCATAACCAATACAAAACTAAAAAGTTAAAGTTAAAGAACATTAAGAACTATTATTTTTATTTATAAAATCTTAAGAAAGTGTTTTATATTATATAGCACGG